GTTTTTCTTCATTACCCATTTAAGCCGTCTTCAGCCATTATTAAACAACACATACTTAAAATGACGTAATCAACATTAGCCAATAGCAGTACGAGGCTTTCTCCAGTGAACAACCATGACATTTATACAAGGATTTATCGACTCTGAATAGAATTGCAGAGACTGTATTTGGAACCCCTACGTTTAGAGTGTCATTAAACTTAAAAGTAAATTATGTTTTCTTAGTACATCTTTCACGGTGGGTGAAATAATGATGAAAGTACAGAAAACACAACAGATAACTCAGTGTCACTCGACAACACACACACTAATGTCACGTGACAAACAAAGGTCAACGTAGCAATGTCACGTGACAACAAAGTACAACGCACCAATGCCACGCGATAACACAGTCCAACATAATTTTATCACGCGGCAACCGAGGATAACTCATCAAAATCACGCAACTGCAAAAGCGACGGTGAGCGCGCGCGCAATTTCGTACCGTAATAAATATGTCATAAAAATCTGTGTTACTAGTTCACTCGGTATTTCCGAAAAATCCAAGTTCAAAGTCTGGAGTTAAGTAGGTCTATTAAGGATTTACAACAGGAGAAACTCCGAATCTATGAAACGGGTTAAACATGTATGAAGTACCATTTAATAGCAACACCTCGAGTGGATATCTCAGTAAAAACAATTAGCTGTAAAACAGCCAATTACATTTTGAGGTTGTGAAAATATACGTGCGTGAACGTAAGCCTCGTCTGATACAGTTTTATATTAAACTGATAATCAGTCAGTTATAAGAAGTTATGAGTGAAAGCGGAGCGAGTGGACGTTAATACGTCCACCAAACTACATCTGTCCTATCCTGTGTCGACGACGAAGCATTTCGTTCACTACCAGATCTCCTCGTATTTGTAATCTATGAAAAAACCCAAAATATTGTCATTTACCCTTTAGAAATGGGCAGAGTCCTCTAACGTTAAATTCGATTTCGAATTCGATGACCTGATGATGACAAAACCTTGTCGAAACGTTGTACATTTGCTGTCATGTTAAACTTACATTAAAGTTTTTCTTCATTACCCATTTAAGCCGTCTCCAGCCATTATTATTCCTCTAACGTTAGTTCTATATACTTCTCGATTAAAATTTCTGAAAGACAAAAGCAAAATTTATCCCAACTGGCCAATTTGCAGCGTTAAATAATTTTAAAATGTTAGTAATAATTACGTTGAAATACACATTTCGCCAGGTTCGGGGGGGGGGGGCACAGAGTTAATTAAAAGAAACGCGTTGGTTGCTCCCTACTTGTATTAGTAAGGTTGAGAAGTAATTAAACACTTTTTTTTGTTTTTTTTTTGCTGAATTCCCAATGTCAACGACTCCAAGCAGTATCTATTTTTGGCTCTGTGTAAATACTGTCTTTTCGAAACGAACAAAAGAACCTTCGAACGGGATCACGAAGGTTGGCGACTGTAAAGCAATCAAAAAACTGTTTATTTACGCTTTCTTTTGTGAGCACGTGCTTAAAGTTAAACCACACGTGTTTCATGTTGTTGGTATGCAAACTGAAACAGAACAGCGTCAAAAAAATACCTATCGTCTTTATCTTGTTCTTAACGTTCTCTGTAAAATACCCTAAGTCAGAATGATTTCTGTTAAGACGTTTAAAACAGAAACTTCGTTTTATCCCTATTGTCCAGACGTTCAACATGGCAGCTTCTATTAGATAGATATACACACAACTGTTTCATTTTATGTTTAATACGACAGTATTATTTAGTTTATATTGTGCGAGCGCTAAAGTAAGTTATTTTTAGAAGTTGCTTACGTAACAGTTTAGGAGTCATTTGTTGTGTAGTTCAATTGTTGTGAATCGGCGTCACGTTACTCGAATCTCCTGAATTTTTTTCATTGTTTAAGTGAGTATTGTTACATAATAACGTCTTGTAGTTTGTAGAAGGTTCTAGGTTTCAATCGGGTAATATATATATATATATATATATACATACACAGGTAAGTGAATGGAAGACAAAGTTTGTGAGAAATATAGATGTAGACTGTGTTTGTATGTTTGGCCAAAATGAGTGTATAGTGGCGACTTTTAAAGTGTTATTATAATCACAGATTGTATTGTGATAACAGAGAAGAAGAATTCGTCTTGTCAGTTATGTTCTAACGACTGTGTGGACTTTTGACGTAAGAGAGATAATTATTTAAAGTTCTGGATACAACTGTGATAACCTATAGTGTAAAGAATTTTTTGCATATACGTTTGACTTCTTTGAATATATTATTTTAAAATAAGTGGTTTGTGTGCTGTCTGTTTACTGTTGAAATTTATCGCCAACATGTCACAGGCATCTACTCTGAAGAATAGCGGCCTTATAAAACCTGACAGCTTCTTTTTTACTCCTACCGTCCACAAGTTTAACACAGCAGCTTCGTTTTACTCCTATTGTCCACAAGTTTAACACAGCAGCTTCGTTTTATTCCTATTGTCCACAAGTTTAACACAGCAGCTTCGTTTTACCCCTACTGTCCACAAGTTTAACACAGCAGCTTCGTTTTACTCCTACTGTCCACAAGTTTAACACAGCAGCTTCGTTTTACTCCTATTGTCCACAAGTTTAACACAGCAGCTTCGTTTTACTCCTACTGTCCACAAGTTTAACACAGCAGCTTTGTTTGATTTCTTCTGTCCAGTTGTTCAACAAAGCGATTTCGTCCTATCCAGCTGCTTATAAAAAGTTCCTGTCTGACACGTTAATACAATAATTTGTCCGAATCTTGCAACATATCTAGAGATAGATGTTGCCCTCTAATTAGATGTGGACTCGAAAATCTCTTATCAAAAAAGTTTTATACAACTGCGCCGATAGAAGTGTCAGCCCCATTCTTTTCTTTATAAAAAAACCTTCCCAGTTTTACTACAAACAGGTGTGGCTGCCCAGTCCTCCCCGACCCCTCATGAGCATAATGTCTGTAGCTTGGCATGAACATCAGCCATCAACGCCTGTTCTACAACAAGTTTGTAACGGAAAATGAAAGCGGAGGCCACAACACACAACCTTCGTTGTTGCTGTTGTTGTTTTTAGCGCGAAATAAAAACAATGAGATTCACGCCGTGAATCGAACTCTGGATTTTGGTGTTCTAAGTCTGTCCCACCGGAGACACAGGCCACCGATTTTCTTAGTGTGAGAGTAAAAGTGACCGTTCTTGTACAACAAGAATTGTTATCGGTTATATCTGTCGTAAGACAAGATACTTGTGTTTATTGTATTTTAACACTATATATATATATATTTTTTAGGCCCCTTTAGGGTTTTGTCTTATGACAAATATGATTGTTATAATCACACTTCGCCAGCTTAAAAAAAAAAAAGGTTTTTCACACCAGAACAACTGTTATTTTTCGCCGGCTTAAAAAAAAAAGGTTTTTCACACCAGAACAACTGTTATTTTTCGCCAACTTAGAAAAAAA